GTCGGTAAGAATAGCATTCTTTCGATTCTTCGGATGTGCATTAATGCACTACAGATGTGAAATTCGCTGGGAACGTGACTTATCTAGTCCAACAGTAGCAGTGCAGTGTGGTGGTGCTTCTACGCCATGTAAAACCCGGACAGCTGGCAGGAGAATGTTATATACAACGATGGAACAGTTTCGCTTAACGGTCTACTTGTTTTGTGATAAACGTCGGTGATATAATCACAAAACAGTTAAAAAGACACTCAGTAATTACTGAGGAGTGAGTTTATCTTAATAAACGGTTTAGTGTAACTCGGGTTCGAAGTCGAGTTTGTATAACAGACCGTAAATTGTATTCATTTGGTATTGGTGCTCCAGATATGAAAATATAATGTTGTAAGCATTTTCTTGGGATTGCTTATGTACAGTTGCAAAGTTCGCCCCTCCCTGAAGCTCGGCGTTTCAAGACCGATTTGCGATACCATGCTTATGAATCCAGCCTGACTGTGATGGATTCCAGACCAGTGTTTCTTAATTCCCTTTCAGGCTATTTGTAGGTCGTGCCTATGTAAGTTCTATAGAAAGAGTGAGCATTTCGGGTACATTTTCTATCGATCGTCATACCAAACATCACAAAACGGTTCTTTTTTGTACCTAACGTCAGCAGTAGAGTTAATTGGACGATTGTACACTATTTACGTGTAAAGTAAATTCTCCAATGACATCATGCGATATTAAGGTTAAGGGTTCTTATTATATTTACATACAATGAAGCAAGCTCAGTGACGAGTCACATGTGCTTAAAGGTTTCCTTTCCAGCTGAGGAAATGTGACTGAATGTCATCTAGATATTAAATGGCTTAATATAGGGTAACGAGATATGTTGAAGTCACTGAAAAATCCAGGAGTATTTGATTATGCTTTCGTATCATGCAGATCCATTCAGCACTTCGGAGGTTCCCATTGACTTACACTGTTTACATATGGAAGTTAGCAAAGTGCAAACAAGCAACCCTACGAACAAAACCATAGCCGAAATAATGTAACATTGACACGACTGAAAAGCAGCGTGCATTCTGTTCGGTTCTTCCCTGAGGTTTCTCGCCATTAATCACGAACCCTAACTTACGGCAAAGTTTCCAAGCGTGGTTTCCCATATTACGGGTTCTACGATTGGTCCCGAAAGACTGTGGAACATTAATAGACCGACACTTCAACAGTCATCTTTTTGTAACAGTTAGCAACTGATCGCTTCTCAGTAGTCATATGATTCGACACCTATGATAACAATGATCATTCAGCTGCTCGACCGTTGGTAGGCAAACGAACAAATCGAATTATCTCTCACAGCCACATTAAATCATGTCCTCAGGTTCTCTCATGCCATGCGGTTTTCAGAGATTTGACATCCGTGGTGTCCTGGCTAGGTCGCCAAAGAATACTCTAAATAGTAATGTGATCGATTATTTATTGTGAAAACGCGCAGTTCTCCCAGTTGGTGACCAGCAATGTTTTGACTGATCCGTCCATATTCTCGAACTATGGTTTACTTTGCAACTAGTCGTCAAATACTCGTTGTTCAACAACAAGTCATATTGTTGCTAGCTGAATTTAGAATGCGATGTGTTTTAACTTTCGGTATGGTTGCTCGAAATGTTTCAGATATAAGAGACTGCATTGTTGAATATGTGATTCGTCTTTTGACCATTTCTCATATTAGTATTTGCAGCATACCATTGGCGTTTGGCTTATTAAGTTAAAGTGATAATTAATTAAATTAATAAGGAGCATGAAGCAGTGTCTATTAGATGCGTCTCGTGCGACGATTGCTCATGATTGATAGTTCTCTGATTACGTGAAGCTTGTTCTAGCCAATTTGACTAGTGGATTGCCTATTGTGCACCTTACGATCATATTCAAAGCCCGTAATAAGCATGTTAACGAAACGAACAAATAGCAATCGAACTTTTTTTAGGCAGAATTTAGTTGAAAGCCACTCATGTCCATCCGTCCCATTTCATAGCCCATATTTGTACAGAGTTATGCAAGAAACATCTTTGGAAAACTGGACTAGTGGTCCCAGTCCTAGTTGACTTAGCAACCATCATGGATATGATCCTATGGTGCAACAATGTCATGCCTGTAACATACCACAATCATCTGGTTCTCTGCTGCTCCTGTAGTTGTTTGTCCAGTAGCTCCGTGAAGAGCGTCAGTGTAGGAGGTCTTTCCTCTGGCATTCTAACTAAGCACCAAATCCCTGGCGATTGTGATCTCTCTATGTGCAGGAGGTTTAAGTCACAAGCAAGAGTGTCTCAGACGTTTGCTGAATTTCGCCGCACTAGTTGACCTTCGAAAAAATCTGTCTCTTAATTTCCAATAATTGGCAATCATTACAGTAGTTGTTTGCAGGCACCTGGATGAACATGAAGACATATAGTTTTTCACTTCGGATACCTCTTTAGCACTGCTCAAAATATCTTTCGTGTGTGTGTTCCTCTGCACCTGCGTTGCCTCGAAACATCCATGCCATTGCTGTCATGTATTTTCAACCACCTGATGACTCAACGAGAAGTGCGGCCACAAAGAGTGCTTGCTGTGCACCTCGACAATTCAGATACGACAAGAACAGAATACCCTGCTGTCCCAATTATTCGCAAATCGTAGACTTATTGTCGGTTGCGCCGAAGCAGCATGTAGTTAATTCCTTGCTCAAGGTTACGTCAAAAACTGCCCGTTAAGAAAATCTGAACCAGGCATCTCTGGAGTTCAGTGCCAACTTTTTTTGCCACTATGCCAAAAAAAACTTATTTAAGTCTTCTGCGGAGATGTAGTGATATCATTTATCGTCTGGATTCATATGTTTTTTTAAGATTTTGTGAGAAGAGGGCGCTCTTTTCTGACTGAAAGAGACGGTAGCATGAGATGTGCCGACTTTCGCTTTACCGCCTTGCAACCTGACCAAAATTTCGGCCGTTCGGTCACAGGAGGTCGACGATGGCAGCACGGCAATTCAGAAACACTGGCGCGTTATGAAACCGACAAGCAAAATCACGAATGACCACTCCGACACGGTATTATGAATGACTGTGGCTTGACGAAGTGTGAAGGCAGGAGAGCCGGAACATCGATGGACAGTGCCATTGACACCAGCTCTCACTGGTTCCATTGTTCCTCTTGGACACTCGATGGAGTGGTGAGCATAGCATCGGTTGACCAGTTGCATTGCTTTGGCTTAAAATGAAAAGAGAACGAAAAATTGCGCCATTGGGTACCCTGGCACTTCGCGTTTTTTATTGAGGAAGAGTATAAAATACAGTGTCGATGAGCCAGAGAAAAAGAAACCACTACCATGATCACATGCCTTCCAATCAGCTGCATGACTCGACAACTGAAACTGCCTGATTTGGATCTCAAACGTTCGAGATTAATTTTCTGCAGGCCGTTGGTCGACGCGGTTTGGCTCACGCTTTCTTTCATGTTCATCCGCAATCGCAGTTGCTGCTGCATAGTTTCCCCAGAGAACCTCGCCTCTGTCTGATACAGTCGATGTGCCGCGATGTCCTCCGCTACCGTCGCTCTAGTTTTTCTCTCAGCTGCAGCTATAGGAACAGTGTTACTCGCTTCCAATCTACGAGATCTGTGCGATCTCTGTTGTATCATGTGTTCAATTTTAGCCCACAGCATCATCCTGTCAAAAACAATCCTAAAAATTTAATTTTTATTTTCACACCATCCCTACTGATAAACAGTCAGATCCTCTATTTCTCAAATTAATG